CATACCATACATACAGTTTGGCAGCCTATCTCTGAGCAGTCAGCCATCACCTTCATCATCATCTGAGAAGATATTATTTTGTTTACTCTAGCAATTAATCAAAGAATTATATATATATATATATATATATATCATATATGTATATTAACACTTGTTGTTTTATGTTTTTGTGAGAACAGATCAAAAGATTGGAGGTAAAAATAATTTCTCCACTTGTTCATTATGGCCTCTTGTGCAAGCAAACAAAGGTTTGTAACTAATTTCCTTTACGGTACTTCAGTTGTTGTTTTTTTTACTAATTTTTTTGGTTTAAATACACAAGTCAAGCTAATTACCATTTATTGTTTACATTTTTGTAGCATCTTGACTTTCATTGCGTTGGTTTCTAAATAAATGTCTTTTATTTGTGCTATTTGTTAATCCATCACTACACTGCAGCTCTTGTCCTACACAAGCTGCTCTCCTTGTGATCACAGATGCTTGCTAGTATCTCCTTGCATCTTTTCTAAGTACCATAATCTAATAGCTCATTGACATCAAAAATAGCTCCAAGCTAATTTCATTGGTGATAATATGAACATTATGACAATGTATTGTTTGAGCATATAGCTATTTGCTTAAAAATTGCCTTATTCAGATTTGTGTAAAATAGCATAAAAATTAAAAGTTTACACACAAAAAGTTTGCTTTATTTTTTTTTTTAAAGTGCTCTTCAATTGTTTTTTTTTTTATCTTTTCAGAATGATTTGAAATCTGCTTTTTCTGCCATAGATGCAGAAGTGACCCAGAAGAAAAAACTGGAGACTATCAAAAGTAAAAATCCTGGGGACAGACTGAAAATTGTATCCTTAGAAATATTTCTTCTTTTCTTTTAAGAATAAAATTAATCTTTTTAATTTGATATTTTTTTGTAAATTAGAGGATATAACAGTTATTTAATATTTTTTTAAGTAAATAAATTGTCCTTAACCTCATGTTCAGAATCAGGTAAAATTAAAGCATATGGTATCTGAGAAAGCCATTGCATTGAAACCTTTTCAATAAATCACTTATAGATTAGATTAGATTTGATTGATTGATAGATAGATAGATAAATAGGAGTTATATTTATACATAGATATTTATATTTATTGTATCTGAAACACAGTTTACGCAAGTTGGAAGTTTGAAAAATTTAAAATATGTTAGTGAAATATGTTTTGTTGGTGCTTAGTCCCTAGTATGAGGTAAAAAGGTAAAATTATTGATTGAGAATCATTATGTAAAGCTGTTTTGAATTTTTTTGAAGTTTAATTTTATTAATAATAGTGTTTTTTTTTCTCAAAACTCTTTATTTTAAGCTAATTTTACCTAGTTTTAAAATCCATATTTCATAATGTCCATCCCAAACTTGAAACAAAAAATTTTTGCTTCTTTTCATTTCAGTATTACATGCCCTATAAAATAAGTTGAATTATTTTCTTTGCATTTAGCCACATTTGAAGTAGTTTTTTTTTTTTTTCATTTCATTAGGTCTCATAAAATAGTTAAGTTGCTTTTCAAACATTAAGTTACACATAAATGTTTTTACTCTCTGTGGGCTGTTGTTTTTTTTTTTTTATAATTTCATTTATGTTTGTAACAGCTAGAATCAACACTTCAGAGAGTTAGTTTAGAAGCCACTAGAAGCAGCAAGGCCTTGGAGCAACAAGTAGATAAATTTGAGGAGAAAAAGCTCAAAGATTTAAAGGTATTTCATATTTCCTCTTGCATTGATTTGTGGGAATTATTCGTTATATTTTTTTTTAGTGTGACTGTGGTGCCTGATCATATTTTAATATGTATATTTTTGTGTATCTTTTGACAGAAAATAATGCGTGAATTTGCAACTATTGAGATGCACTTCCATGCCAAGGCTTTAGAGATTTATACACAAACTTTTCAGGCTTTAGAAAGCATTGACCCTGATGCAGATCTTGAAGTAAACATTTTTTTTTGTTGTTATCTAATTAAAAAGTTCTTCTGCTGTTTCAAATTATTATACATTTATAACAAATTATTAAATGTTCATATGTCATGTGCAACACTGAAATCATCCTTAATCTTCAGAATCAAAGACCTTGCCATTAAATTAAAAGTAAATGATCCTCATCATTGCATTTTTGTAAAAAGTAGATTTTCATTATAGGAATTCCGTCATCAGTTACGACCTAATGGTTCTATTCGATCGGACATTGCAAGGTCAGCTTCACAAGCTTCTCTTGATTCTAGGAGGAGTTCTCTTGGGAATACAACACCCACGAAACCATCCTCCATACAAGATACACCCACAAATAATAAAAAGAAGATTCCAGTGCCTCAGCCTCAGGTAATGAACAAAAAAAAAAAAGAGAGAAAATATATTTAAAAAAATGTTTGACTTACTGAGTACACACTGTTCATTCACTGAAGACAAAATATTTTTTTCTATTCAAACATTTACTGCAGCATATATTTTGTTTTTAAGGATCTGGAGGATGATAGTGAGGAAGACGATGATGATGATGATGATGAATCAGAAGAGGATGACTCAGATGAAGAGGAATCAGAAGAAGAGTCTGAAGTGGCTCCAAAGCTGCCTCCTAAAAAAAGATAACATGCGTCTCTGAAAGACACAACATTTATCAATTAGGTTTACACACAGTTTTTGTTTCGTTATCTTGTTACTTAAATGTCCAACACTATATACACTATTGTATATTTGTAACTATTGTTGACAACTAAAAGCCCGTGTTACACCTTACTTTTGTTGATGTGAACTACTTACAGTTTCTATTTCATGAAGTGTAAAATAAATCAGCCGTCCATTTATTATTTTATCAGGCATGTTTATTTAACATCCTTAAAAATGTTTTATGATTACTATTATTTTATATTCAATACACTAATGTGATGTAAATGTAATGAATATTAATAGTTATGCATAAAAATATTTGCATTTTATAGTGCTATTTACATTTGATTAAGCATACACATGGTTGATAATTTTTTGAGTCAATGTATTGCCACCTAATTTTGTACTGTTTTTTTTTTTTTAAAGATTTGTTTTTGCTTATCTTACCGTAGACCCTAATTTATGAGCTTTGGATTTTAAAAATTAATACCTATTAACAAATAACAGGAAATCACATTTTAATAAAATTCTTACATTAAAATAAAGAAAGAGTAGCAAAAATTATGTAACTTTTTAAGTTGCTACATGCTGACATTAGAATGGTAGAATATAGAGATATACTACAAATTGTGCTCATAGTCAATATTATATAAGATACAAGAGATATGCTTGATTTTGAAATAGAAAAAAACATTTATGTCATAAGTTAAGTGCATTTAGCAAACAATAATTATTGAAATGCAGCACATAATAAATATTTAATTACTTATTTTAAATAACTTGTAGAATTTGTATATTTAATTTACATATCTTTTAGTGTAATTAATTATTTTCATTATAAGATTTTGGGGGCGCTATAGCTGAACAGTAAAGTACTTGACTTCCAAACTAGGGATCCTGGGTTTGAATCCTGGTGAAGACTGAGATTTTCAACTTCAGGATCTTTGGGCGCTTCTGAGTCCACCCAGCTATCATGGGTACCCGACATCACTTGGAGAAAAGTAAAGGCAGTTGGTCGTTGCGCTGGCCACATTATACCCTTGTTAACTGTGGCCATAGAAACAGATGACCATTACATCATCTGCCCCATAGATTGCAAGGTCTGAAAGGGGAACTTTACTATTATAGGATTTTGTTAACATCGTTTGGAAATAAAAAAATTTTTACTACCAGTTTACAAAATACTTTTTTTCACTCAGAAATGTCCCTAATGTTTCTGTTAAATGTTCTACATCTGTGACTACATATAACTGAAACAGTGAGTGTTGTTGAAGTTATTTCAATCTTTCTCTCTATAAAATTTAAATCAAACAGGATTGTGAGCCAAAATTGTATGTTATTTTGTTTCTTGGTACTACATACTCTACTCTATTTATTAAATGTCATCTAGATAATGTGAGATCATCTTTTTTTTCCTAATGCTGCATTCTTGCCTCTTGAAAATTTCAATCGTCCATTGACATTTTTAGTTACCTCTTAAGTTTTGTTTTTATTTGCTACTCCAGCAAAGTATAAATTCAAATGTTTGATTTACTTGAAGACTAATTTCTAACATTAATTTTCCTTACTGGTATATCATGTCTTCTAAGTTCCTGGTGAAAATTTTGCCTAATAATAATAACTAATTTTTAAAATATACTGAATTGAATCTCAATTCTGCACAAGGCTAGTTTTATTAACTAATTTTATTGTATTGATAAACATGTTTTAAGAATCTATTCTTTTTAAAAAAAATTCAACAACACTTAATGTTTCCTTGCTAAAAATGTTCATATCTTGTATCATTATTTTATTTAGAGTAATTGTTCCTACATTTATTTTTCCTACTTTATAAAATGGATACATTGTTGTGAATGTTTCATTGTTTAAATGGATAACAAGAATCTCTTGTACATTTATTTATATATCTATCATGTTTTTTTGTTGTTTTTTTTAGCAAAAAGGCAAAGCATTATCTGCCTTTAGTTAAATCATTTATTTTAACAATGCCTCACACTAGCTTGCTAATTCTTCATTGGTTCAGACAAAAACCAACATTTGGGAACTGAAGAACAGCTAGATAATGCTGAACTCACTGAAAAGACTCCTTGCTATAATAAAGCATTACCTGTACAAGAAATAAATAGAATTAGAAATTCTATACCACCATCACCTTCAGAAAGGTGGATTGGATTTTTAAATAAACTTTTTGTTACTTGTTCTGTGTGTGTTCTTGTGATCATCATGCAGTGCTAGAACTTTAATTGTTTGTGTTATCAAATGTTACAAAACTATGTGATGTTCATATTCCCATATTCATAGATTGTTCTCATCTTGGGTTCAACTTATGTTACAAAACTATGTGATGTTCATATATCATATTCATTGATTGTTCTCATCTTGGGTTCAACTTACCAATGAGCTCATTGGATACTTTATTTAAGAAGCACCTGAAAGAAAAGGAAAAAAAAAATGGTTGTCTCTATTTACTTAGCAAATATGTTCTAAGTAGACACACTATTTTATGGTAGATACATGTATCAAGTGTATATCAATGCTTTTATATCGCCTTTATATAGTGGTATGTACCGGTAATTGCTAAATTTTGTTATTAGCCTTCTTCTGTAATTGAAAATAAAGAAAATTGTTAATGTGTAATGCATGTTTTTTTTTTCTTCGAAACAACCAGAGGGCATTACTTCCTTTCAGACTGACACAAATGAGTCACGCCAAAACTTAAATTTTGGCCAAGCCAATGTGAAAATAAATACAAGTTTTTACAGTAACAAAGGGAAAAGAGAAAGGCGGTGGCCAACCGGGGTAGAACGTAAGTATTATAGTACTCTTCTTCTTTTTCCTGGTACTGTTCCCTGAATGAAGGTCTTTGCAAGCCCCAAAGACCTTGTAATATGGCCATAGAGTTTTAGTTTGCGTTTTTTTTTTTTTTTTTTTTACAGTAGTTGGGCAGATCATCATGTGGTCCAATGGCTGTAATAATCCTGTCTCTTTCTTTGTAATATGGTCTTTAAATGTTTAATGTAAAATAGCTATGTTAAAACGGCTCTCAGTCAATATGGAAAATTTGTCACCTATGCGCCCCCTTTTTGTGTTTTTTTAAATTCGTAAATGTGTGTATTCATTGGTTTAGCTACATCATCTAGACTTGACAATATAAAACAGTAAATAAAAGTATTAGAAGCGAATGCACTGCTATAATCGAAACTTTGTTGCATGTCTAGTTGGGATTTAAATTGTATGAACGACAGAAGCGGGCATAAGCCACAGCGCCGTCAGCTGGTTTCTACACTAGCGGCCGTGTGATTACTGTGTTCTTAGCAACAGACGCTTTGTATCGCCATTCGTAGGTGCCAACAATAAACTTAAGACCAGTCTAAGGTTTCGTGGCTATTGGCGTGGGCAAGAGTCAATCGATTGACTGCTGCAGTTGAACTTTGAATACGCTATTCAGTGAACACACTCTCGTGTTCATTTCAATACAAATTGTTTACTCGACGACTTTATAATTAAGAACAACGCTGACCTACATATTTTTTAAAACAATTAATCTCATTGTTGTCTGTGAGTTTATTGATAACCCTCGTTGGTGGCATTATCATAGATCTTGAGCTAGGTAAGACTCTTACACTGAACTAGAATTAAATCAAACTACAGCTATTAAGAGTACACAGCGAACCTTTGGTGCTCTATTGTAAGACTACATTTAAATCAAACTACAGCTATTAAGATTACACAGCGAACCTTTGGTGCTCTATTTTAAGACTACATTTAAATCAAACTACAGCTATTAAGAGTACACAGCGAACCTTTGGTGCTCTATTGTAAGACTGTGTAGTGTAACCCTACATTTAAAACTCAGGACGTATCCTTTACCTTCATGTATCCCTTAGTCTGTTGAAAAGGACGGTCGACGAATCTTGTGTGGTGCCCCAACGGTCCAGCAGACTATGGGATAGATAACAGATCTGTTGAATCCTTAAGGCTTGTCCATTCTTTAATGTTGTCTTCCCATAGCTTTCTCTGTCTGCCTCTTCTTTTTCCTGACACTGTCCCCCGAAGGAAGATCTTTGCTAGCCCCAAGGACCTTGTGATAAGGCCATAAAGTTTCAGTTTGCATTATTTGACAGTGGTTAGCAGGTCGTTGTGATCCTTTATCTAATCTCTTCGTTTGTGATGCGGTCTTCTTAGTTGATACCTAGGATCCTTATTCTATAACATAGTGACGACACGTTTTAGCTCACTTAAGGTATCACTCAGGTCCAAGCATTTAATTAGTTAATTTAATATTTTATCCTCTTTAATTTTATTAAACTTAGCCAATCGAGCGCTAAAAATCGCTACCACCACCCCTCCAATCCAACCCCACCCCAGGCACCGATGTCACATTTTACCTTCCCTATCTTGACACATGCCACACTAGACTCTTGACAAGAGTACACTCCCCTGGACATATCTGGGTTAAAAATTCGTTGCCCCTCCTATTCACTGGACCAACGTGGACGGACAAACTGTGGACTTGACCTAAGACGTAATCTCACTTGCTCTGGCTAAGCCCTGATCATCTCCCCTTCACCTTCTCTGACCACCTGGGCTGGAAGACGAAGGGACGCCAGCGGACCAGTTTCCTGGTCTCCCAATTCACACCTTGGCGCAATTTCTCTCCCTGAGAACTTTCGTCTTGATCAAAAGTGGACTTCTTTCTCGATGACTCCAGATTGTCTACATCAAAATTGTCGGCTTATCGTACACCACTCCTGCCCACCTTCTCTCCATCTTTATCTGAACAAATTTCGCGGTCCTAGTCATTCTCGCTGGAGACCTAATTGAGAGCGGAAAATTCTCTTGTTTGAGCTCTACATACTTTCAGTCCCTTTTCTTTCACTTTGGATTGGTGCTTTTATCTATAAGTAATCTGCACTTGGTAACTTACCAAGTCACTGCTGATACCAGATTTGTTGATACCAGATCTGCCGACACCTCAGCCCTGATCATACATCACCAGCGTCCAAACAACAACGCTAGCCAAAGACCCGTCACTGGCTTCACTCACAGTAGTCGCAGCTGATCCCTGCCCCAACAAACAGTTGGACCCCACGGCTGGAACATACTACGCCAGCCCACACAGCACCAGCCACACCAGTCTCCTTAAGGCAGCACCGGACACATATAAGCTAAGGAAGAAATCCTGATGATACACAGACCACTTGGCTCCTAGCATCTAATGTGATGATATACGTACATACTAGATCTCATCCCAGCCCACTGTAAATCATTACACCGTATCTTTTCATTGTACAATAAACCTTGTATATATTTATATATATATATAGTATTTGTTGCCTGCATTTATAACGTTGTGCCTGTTATGTGAATTTACGCAAGTGTGGGTTCTCAAACTCTAAAACCCCCTAGACACGCTTAAAACGGCCACCTTTTAAACCCCTTGTCACAAGCATATCGATTTCATTGTCAGGATTATCCTCTCTAGCTTTGCAGTTAGCGTCCAAAATTCGCAAGTAAACAAGAATGTGGCCATGACCTAGGAGCGCACCAGTCAGATTTTTACGTCTAAGGCTGTCTTTCTGGAATATAGATGTAGGTTTATATAGAGAGAGTGTTTACAGTAAATGTGATATAACAATAGTGCGCAATTCGGACCATGTAATGCCCAGTCTTCTAATACTAACAAATCCACTGTAACATTGTCACAGTCCACTGTAAAATATATTTAAATCAATAAGTAACTATGCAACGGGTTTAATGAAATAAAATGTAAAATTAAAATATTGTTAGTATCCCCAGAGCCGTAAATGATAAATTGAGGGACTGGTAAGGGTTTTTGTGGAGGTCCATCATCAATCTTCTTTAGAAATAGTTATACACTTAAGAGCATTATTGCAATATTTGTAAATAAAGAAATAAAACACTTGTAAATTTAATCTAATTTTCTTATATTTAGGCTGCATATTTTGTTGAAATGTGGATAGCTAATGTATTAATATTCGCCTAAGTTTATTAGCATTCCTGTCATCCATTGGATCATCCACTTCCGATAGGTGACAAGTGATAACTAAGTCAAACTAACTTAGGCTGGATTATGTGAGGCTTTAAAAAGTAAATTAAAAACAAGCCTGGTACAGCCTCTGTGAATATCTTCTCTTCTTATATTTTACACAAAAGAAAGAAAATAATTGTGTCCTAATCATTTTATGTGTCAATCTAGTCATGCATGTTAATCCCTGACTTAAAAACTGGCCTTAGCAGTGCACGGGGTCCTGTGTGATGAATATTTGTCCAATTGGCTGGCGGTGTCAAAAGATTCTCTTTCGAGCCGGCCGCCTCCACCCCAAGACGCAAGGACTGGGGTCGTTGCCCCCTTCGGCATCCATAAAGCCGCCTCTGCATGAAGATTACGTATTTTGTATTGTATTTAATAAGTGGGATTATTGAAAACCAGATATGTCTGAATTATCACGTGAAATGTCCAGCATTCATAACATGTAAGATGTAGTGATAACATGGGTGTAGCCGGGGGGGGGGGGTTCAACTCCACCCCTCCGAAATAAAATCTCCCCCGCAACGGGCGTGTAGAAATTTAGTGACTGATTTTTGTTTTGATTTTGTTATTTTAGGTGAAATTTTAGTACTAAACCATCACTTGCCCCAGCACAGCCAAGGGGTTTTGAGTTTAAAACCCCCTACCAGGGGGTTTTGCAGTTAAATCCCTCTCTTCTATAAAACAAAACAAAAAAAAATGCAAACAACAATCCCCAAATTCCAAGAGCACAGTTGAGGAAGATTTTGATTTAAAATCCCTCCAAAATTTAAGATAAAATCCCTTCAATATAAAAAAAGCAAATTACAATAAAAATTCTATGAGTGTAGCCAAGAGAGGTTTTGAGTTAAAACCCTCCTCCAGTGGTACCTCTTCAATATTTAAAAAAAGCAAATTAAACACTCTAACATCTATGAGCGTTTTGAGTTTAAACCCCCCGCAAGCTGGGTATGAAGCTAAAAAATACCTCTTCAATATAAAAAAAACAACAAATTACACACTATAATTCTTTGCGCGTAGCCAAGCCAATGGGACATTATGAGTTTAAATCCCCCTCCTCCAGATGGCTTTTTTTAAAAGTTTAAAACCCCTCCAGGTGGTTTTGAGTTTAAATTCCCCTACAGAGAGTTCTGAGGTTGAAAACCTCTCTCTTCAATATTATTCTAAAGCAAACTACAATCACCAAATTCTATGACCGTAGCTAAATGGAGTTTTGAATAAAAAAAAAACAACTCCAGAGATTTTTTAGTTTAACCCCCCCCCCCCTTTTTTCTTATCTTTTCGATATAAAATCTAAAGCAAAATACACTCACTTAATTCCAAGAGCGTATTCAAGAGAGGTTACACATTTTTACCAGTGGCAGGGCTCCATTAATAAAGTGCAGTGAATAGTCATCTGCCGAAATTGAAAAACACTAAATGTGGCTCAACAAAGATGGCTAAGACAGATTTTAGGAGTCAGTTATAGAGATTGGGTCTAAATCAAGGAAATCCTATGCCGAACTGGGAGTCGACCCCTTTGTGGAAGATTGTGACACAGCGTCGCATGAGGTTTGCGGGACATGTTCTCCGACAAAATGAATTA